TTTTTCCGGCTTATATAGCCCTGTGACACTGATAAAACATGTGTACCCTAGAGATATGCATTTCGTGTTAATATTATCCATGCGTACAAAACTGATAACAAAACAATTTCAGTTGCTATTGAAAACCATCTTTTACCAACGCAATTTTAGTTTTGCGAATACAGTGTATAAAGCATAGGTACATTCTATACAGGTATGCATTTGCTTTCTTGATGAACATTTTTGAAATCTCATTTATGCACATGAATGTGAATTACTTAGAAATCTGGTCGAATCGAAATATTCTGTACAAACCCAACAAATCTTAGCGTAAATTTCAGCATCCAAAGGTCGCTAAGGTCGTGTTTTTAGGACTTAATTGTCATATTAGTCCAGGAGCAAAGACCAAATTAATCATGTATCTGAGACCAAAAGATTTGAATATGTATTCTGACTCAGAAAATTGTGTAGAATAAGAAAATCATTTTTTTGGTGGCACCAGTGGGTGAGTTGTGGGTGAATCATGATACGTTTATGCCAAGGTCGAAAAAAAACCCTGTCAAGAAAACGGGATTTGTGTCCTAGAAACTATTATGAGTTGGCGTATGATACTCCTTTGGTTATAATTTTATGGAAATGGATGGTGTAATTAGGAAATAATAAAATAGTGGCATTTTGGTTGGATAACCCACTCTAAAAATGAAAAATATTCAAACACATTTTATAAAAATTTCAACCGAAAGATTTAAAAAGTGGTTTAATAGCTTATGTCTACATGCACTTTTGGCTAAAAATATCATTTTGTAAAAAAATCATCACTTTTATGCATCATGATGCTGCTTCTGTGGAGCCCAAAAATTTTACATGTCACCAAGACAAAAATTGGCCGTTTTTACGATGATAGAGAGTTTGTAAGTTCGTACAGCAAAAGCTGCACCAAATTTTAATTTATCATATTACATATTTAAAAAAAATACAAACGGTATATTAAATAATTAATCCAATTTATTGTAGAAAATTTAATATTTGGAATATAAAACATGTTATTGTATTACAACAATTACGTAATATGCACTACGATGGAGAGGCATGCAGTAAACTTAGAGTAAAATGCGTTACTTACTATGATCACTGAAATATCTAACATGGTTGCACACATTATTGACATCAATGCTAATTTACTAATTGTGAATTATAGAGGTATAAGTCAAATATATATATCAATGGATTATCATACATTTTACAAATATTGTCTATACAGTGTGTACAACCATATAGGCATATTCAAAGTATGAAACTAACAGTGGTTGATTAGAGTCAAAATATCAATGAATCAGCATATAATATAAATTGACATTACACATTTTCAATTCACAAGGTATCATTGGTTGATAAGCTCGTTTAGTTAACATTACACATGGTATTTCAATCTTCATCCCTGTCAGACTCATCAGTAGGTGATTCATAAACTGCATTTTCCACATATTGTTTGCCAGTCATATCATTGTCTATGCAGGTGATGGTACTTGCTTTCATGCAAACCAGGTTATGACAAACTTGTCATATTGGAGTCTCCATCCACGATGCTGGGGATTCCATGCCATGAGGTTTCTACATGTTGCCCTTTTATACATATTGGCGACATAGTTCGCTCTTTTAATATTCTGTTCAGGCACAGGTTTTGATGGTGGAAACATGCTTGGGTCGCATCCCTTTATTTTTTCAAAGTGCCTGGAAGATTGGTTTGGTGCGAAATGATCAAGCAATATGTGGTAAGTAGCTGAATCCACTGATCTCAGAGTTTGTTTTCCACACATGTGGCAAAAAATTACTCAATGTCCTGTGAATTTGTGATTCGCCTAGTTTGCAAAATGCTCAGGTGAAGACAATCACTATGAGGTCGGAATCATCACAACAACACTGCAATAGTTCTGACAGACTGAAATGAATTTCAAGAGCCACACAAGCCGTGTGTCAGCTTCAAAGTGGTTACACACTAGCTCAGGTATTTGTGTTCGTACTACTTGTTGACAACTTCATAAAGCCATGGCCTGTCCTCAAAACCAAAATAAAGTTGGCGACCAATTAACAGAGGACTGTATAAGGGCCTCTGCCATTCTTCTAATAAGAAGAGAAGTTAGGCTCTTTTAAAGCCTGGAGAGTATAGCTAAGCATGAAAATCGTTTGATCTTTTTTGCTCTAGACTTTAAATTTTGTAGTCAGTATATTCTCCACTGAACCTTCTTATCTCATGTGTGGGATCTTTAATTGTGGCTTCATTTTTGTAACAATCACAAACACAATGAATATGTGTTGCAGTGCTCATAACTCTCTTTAAAAGAGTTTAAGTGATGCCACCAAATGTGGCCAAAAGACTGACCTGACTTTGGATGACAAACATAGCATCTACAAGGGAAACATCAACGCTGGATGATGGCACTGTTTTAACCTTGCCTTATCGTTCTTTAGTCAAAGCTGCCTCATCAGTTCTGTTCATCATGCTATCCACATGGGCCAGGGAGAGCGGGACAGGTGTCAGTTGGAAACAGAAAACTGCTTTCAAGTATAAATCATTAGTGGCAGTTAAATATAGGAGGCTACTAAACAGGTCCTGCATTCCTTGCAATTCTCTGATTTTTTTGTCCCTCGCTGGGACCTTAGCTTTGATGTCAGGTTCAAAGTTCTGGACCTTCCATCGAGGTATGGCTTTCTCAAATTTTTGAGGATCTTGCAAGCAACCTGATTCATACAACTTGCTTTCTATTTCCTGACATGAGATCAAATCAATTTTGACTTTGTCAGACACTGCCTTGCCAGTTGTTAGACAGTACAATTTCTCGTTATTGCATGTCTGGCTGAAAGGGTTTATAATATTTTCAACACAACTGATAACATTTTGAAGGTCATCATTGCTACGTTTAACTGTGTTGCTGAAGCTCTTGAGAGGTATCGTCCCCATTTTGCAGACCAGCCATACTGAGAAGATGACAAGTGATGCTGCTTCTGGGCACTTTGTTCTACCCTCCTGTGATGCAGTGACGGACCTGATGCCAGTCCTGCGTGATGCAACATCTGCATTCACAGTCTGCTCTAATGTCAAATCCACAGCCGCTCTACTGAAGGATTTATGAGTTCGCCTTATTGAAAAGGCCACTGCTTCCAGGATTTCCCGTAATCAAGGATGGCTTTTAACAATATTCAATAGTTTGAGTACATAGAACATCGTATATCTGGCATAATTTGGATGATAGGTGGCAAAGAAAATACGACTCATTTTAACAAAAGAGTATATGAAAGATCCAAGTTATTTGTCATATAGACATATTGAATTGTAGGAACAGTTTTACCAGATCTATGTGCATCTTCAAGAGCTGTGCTGTTGCACCATAATTGCCGTTCCAGGTTTCATCAGTAAATTCTGAATATCTCTGCATAGTATTTGTATAAACTACTACTTTCTCAATTTTTTTATTGTATTTTTTCCTGGATGATCATGTAATTAATTAGAAGCTCCAAAAACTCATTTTCAAGTGAGCTATGAGTGGTAAAGAAGAACATAAAGTGTAATACCACTCTTGAAAGACTATTAGGGGTAATTATATCTTTATTTGTCACAAATGTTTCCATTTCGGTTTCGAACTCTTCAGTACAGTGGTAACCAACTGAACGAGAGAATCTGTTAAGTACTTCTAGTAAACACTACTAGTCAGTCTTTTAAAAGCTAGGCGTAGGCATATTTGTTTTGCAAGTTTTAGACGGCCTCGTGTTGTTGCTAAAACTGCATCTTAAGTAGCTGACGTTGCATAGTCCTCACTGCGAGAGTTGGGATCATTGATATTTTCAGAACCTGTGCATAATACCCTAAAGAAGTGTACTAACATGTCTGGCAAATCAGTCTGGCCTTTTTAAGGCTATCTGCAGTCGTAGGTGTTGACAATTCATTTGACCTACTCAATTGCAGAATAACTGACCTGAGCTGTAGAGCAGCCTGAGTTATAGCAGAACCACCAGAACTTGCAAATACCTTTGCATATTGCAATGCTTTTTCTGAGCTCATTGTATGATGGTGTAACACATGTCCATCTTTTGTTTTTGCTAGATTTGCTCAACACGAGGGAGTCACCGAAATGTTTTAATATTTTACTACTAATGACTGACTGTAATGAGAACTGTCAACAATACCTTGCATTTGGAGGAGGCATAGATAACGAGCATGTATGGTTTTAACGAAATCTGTACGCCTTCTCTCAACAAGAAATTTCCGAATGTACTCAGAAAATATATCGAAAGCAACACAATGCACATCTCTAGCTTTTCTATAGTCGAATGAATTTTCAGTCTTTGCTTTTTGGGCTTTGTTGTGATAGTTTCTAGGGGCATAAATGGTGGTACTTTACCTATTTTGCTATAAAATCAACAGCACCATATTCCACCATGAAGGTGTAATCATTCCAACTACGTACATCATCTTTGATTGCATCTGCTGCCTCTAGTGTTTTACACTAGCCCAGCGGATCATCTTTGTAATTAACTCTTTTGCGTTTTTTATTGTAAAAATACAGTTAAGTTCAAAAACACCTGCTGTTGTAACAGTAGCAGCTTTGGCAGAGCCAACTGATCTTGACAGGATATTATTATTCTCATGTGGTTCATTACTTGAAAAGATAAGGTTGGACGACTTTCCAACTGCTGTAAAGTTCTTGTAACATTTGCTGTGATATCCGTCCCCCTCCTTGTAACCATCACCTAACTATCTGCATATTTTGTTATATTTTGATGTCATGCTGTATGTGGCAAGTCGAGCATACTTGGCAGTTTGCACCTCGGCCAGGGCTGTTGGTCAAAAGGTTTCACATGTTAGTGTACCATGTGGCCTCTGAGTCTCCATTGCCATTAGATGGTAGACAGGTGGGTCTAATATCATATGAAAAGAATGAAATGCATTTTGAAAACATGTTATGTAATAATAAATATATAAGAAATATAACATAGCATATCAATACATCTTTTAAAAATACTTACAACATAAAAGTTATGCATTCAGCTAACAAGCCATCTGGATTAAAACTTGTCTTTTAGGACTATATAGGCGTACAGATCACAATCATTTCTTATCTTTAAAAATTACAAAATAATCAAAATATAGTTTAGATTTTCATTAAAATGTCAAGTAAATTTTATATAAATGGGTTTATGTTTTATATCAGTCATTCAATGTAATACTAAGACAATTTGAAATTTGATTGAATAATCTAGTTAGCTTTAGGCCTACGTAAAACATAAATAGATGAAAATTTACCTTGATAAATCTGTGTCTTACAATAATTAGATCAGTCTGGATCTCTTCTTGCAATGTTGAAATAACATGACGTCATAACTTATGTCATCAAAAACATAATTTGCTTTCTTTTATAACAAGAGAGTATTAAATAAATACCTGAATTAATAACTTTTATTATGTTGTTTGTAATTGCCTTTTTAAAAATACTCAATATAAAAGTTTATTATTGACTTATAGCTGTTTACGTGTGTTTTAATTGCCTGCTGGTATAAGATTATTACTTCGAGTATTTATTTAATCATTAAATAAATATCTGCATTCATTACTTTTATTATGTTGTTTGTAACTGCCCTTATAATATAAAATCAGATAGATAACCACCTGGTGTAGCTTTTGCTGTAAGAATTAACAAGACCTCTATCAGCGGACTTTTGACGGAAAAACGGCCAATTTTTGTCTTGCTGATATTTAAAATGTGTGTGCTCCACAGAAGCAACATTATGATGCATAACAGTTATGGCTTTTTGCAAAATGATATTTTTAGTCAAAATTGCATATAGACAAAAGCTATTAAACCACTTTTTAGATCTTTCGGTTGAAATGTTTATAAAATTTAACGGAAAACTGCAGATTGTTTGGATATTTTTCATTTTTAGACTGGTTTATCCAACCAAAATGCCATTATTTTATTATTTCCTAATTACATCATCTATTTCCATGAAATTATGACCAAAAGAAGTATCATACACCAACTCATAATGGTTTATAGGACCCAAATCCCGTTTTTCTACAGCGAGTTTTATTTTCCGACCATGGCATAAACCGTATCATGTTTCACTCACAACCCACCCACTGATGCCACCCAGAAATTGATTTTCTTATTCTACACCATTTTCTGAGTCAGAATACATATTGAAACTTTTTAGTCTCAGACACATCATGAAATTGATCTTGGCTCCTGGACTAAATGAGCATTATACATTCAAATCTTTTTTGCATAAATCAAAAAACATAATCAGTCCTTCAATCTTAAATAAACACTTGTAATTTTTTACATGCTCGTTATAACTGGTTTACTTGTATTTCTATTTTGGCTATGAGACTGTAGTTCTTATCTTAAAGTGAAGTTTTAGTTCTGAACACTTAACTAGTTATTTATATTGTATTTCTCTAGGGTTTCCTCTTTACAAGCTCCAAAAGTCCATTCTTTATCTTCATGTTTTCGACTATGATCGCTTTAGTCGGGACGATCCTATTGGTGATGTGTATGTTCCATTAAGTCAAGTCGACCTTACTCAAAAGCCATTATTTTGGAAATCCATCAAACCAGCGGAAGATTCGAAGGTGAGAGTAAATATATACTAATTACTTAGTTTTGTCCTACCTTTCGGCTGTAAATCTGCCATATAGTCAGAATAGTATTCAGAAATCACAATACAATACAAACACAGCGAATTCACTTACAACCACCTAAAAACACAACAGAGAGGAAGGTAATCATTTACAAAATCCCCTTTCAATGTGTATTCCAGTAATTTGAAGAATAGTTATTTATTGACGGTCTAGTGGAAAAGAGTGAATAACGCACCAGACTTCCTATCAAGATGATCCAGGATCGAATACTCGCCACTAACAACAAGAAATCCCGAAAACTGCAACGGATTAGTAACCGAAACGTAAAATAAAAATTAACCTAAATGCACAGTACTGAAACTAACCAAGCTAGAAAGAAGAATGAACTTTTGGGCAGATCTGGAGTATTACCATAGTTGTACCAAATGCTGGAATACCACCACTCTTATGTTTCTGAACATATTTAAACACTGATACGTCACTTGAAAAACAACAGCTTTATAACTTGTTTAGATTGAAAGAAATATGCAGTAAAAAGTGTAAACATATTTTTCTACTTGATAAAGGGGCAAAAACATATAATAAATAAATGGGGTATGGGACAAAATAAATTTCCACTAGTATATATTAAACTGCATTAAAGTTTGACAACTGTAGCATATATCTTAATATTTTTATAAATACAATTTGCTAATTTTAATGGTGAATCGTCTTCCACATACTCTAGGTTAAAAATGATGATTTAAGGGCCTAGAGAAGATAGAATCTGAAAATAGGAAAGGACGTAGTGGTCTAAAACATTATACGTCTCTCTTGATGGCCTTCACTGACACCTGAGGTTCGAATAGATTAAAACGGATGATTTAAGGGCTTAAGAGGCAAGTGGAGGATCTGAATTGAGGGAATGTCGCAGTGGTCTAAGACGTTATACATCTGTGTTGATAGCTTACCCTAGCAGCTGGACTTAAGAATCCTTCTTCGGATGGAATCTTATTTTTAATTATTGTAAAATAATAATCAAAACAAAAATGTGGTTACATCTTATCAGAACATTTTACATACAGAAAAACAGTCGAGTTAGACTAAATGGGCCAGCCATTTAAATATGTGTAAAAATGGAGCTAGATTATATATGAAAGGTTATATGTAAAGACGTAGTAATGTAAAAGTGATAGATTAAACAACAACATTAAAAATTAGAGAAATTTAGTTTTATTTTTATATTTGAACTGAAATAGACAACATGAAAATAAAAGGCAACCAAGCTTATTCAGTTTGTTCTTGTTTAAATCACGCTCTTTTAGAAAAGTGAATAATATTTATTTTTATATCTAATAAAAATCTTGAATGTTGGTCGCGTTATATTAAGTCTGTTTTATAAGCGCATTTATCGCTCTATTTATATTATTGTATACATAAATAATAAATCTTATTTAATGGATTACTAAAAAACGGTATTTCTTCAGAAATTTGTTAAGGCTCTGACACTACAATGATATATATGTGTTTCAGTTAGGAGAAATCCTAGTGACCCTGCTGTACGTCCCTAGAACTAGTGAGCTAACACTTACTCTTGTCAAGGCTAGGAACCTGAAGTCAAAAGATATTAACGGTTCGTCAGGTAAGTTTGTAAAAGAAATATATATAAAATAAGATATATTCTCATTTCTCTAACTGGCTTCTAGTTTTTCAAATATAAACCAAAATAAACCTTTTGATATTGTGCAATAAGCATACGTTTGGGTACATGTACAACTCAATATAGCTAAAATGAACTAGAGTTATTTTAAAGACACTGATAGTTTGTTTTTCATTTGCAATTGTCTAAAACATGTTTCAATCTTTTTCTTTTTTTTTTACAAAGTTAACCGAGATTTTAATTTCATGAGAGAATTTTGGAATATTTCAAACTTTTGTAAGCAGCTTTGAAGCAGCAATTCAAAGAAATTAATTGTTGGCTATAACTGTCTTTTCAAAATATAATATTCTTGAGAACGACCTCTGGTGTTATAGCCTCGAGATTTATATTTCAAATTTAAAAATTGTTAAGTTTTAGCAATAAATTTTAAATATATGTTCTTTCTTTTTTTTATATATCTGTAGCTCACTTAAAAAGTGTTTTGCTCTGACTAATAGCTAAGAAGATAATAACTTCACTAGATATGATTGAAAAAGTTAATGGTAATGATAATTGTTTTGAACCTATTCTGTTTCTACAAGTGGTCATAAAACAGTGCACTAATCATACAATTCCTGATCTTGTTGTACGGCTGATGGCTTAACTTGGTTTTCCAGATCCTTACGTCAAAGTGTGGTTGCATCGTGGAGACAAACGAGTGGAGAAAAAGAAGACTCAAGTCCATAGACGAACGTTGAACCCTGCGTTTAACAGCACTTTCCAGTTTATCGTTCCCTGGGAACACATCCGGGAAACTTATCTTTCAGTAGCCGTTATGGACTTCGATACCGTTGGACGGAACGAACTCATAGGAAAGGTAATCCTGTCCTCCCGGAGTGGACCCACGGAGTCTAAGCATTGGTGTGATATGCTGACCAAAGCCAGAACTGCTGTATCTCAATGGCATAGGTTGAAGACATTGTGAAGGTTAGCTGAGCTAACCTTAGAAAGCTGTTTAGATATTCCGTCTTCTCCAATCCAGGGTTTCGACTCACCATGGCAAAAAAATAAAAACAGGACGCTATACATGGGCCTATCTCTAGATTTTGATGTTCATATGGTAAAACATATGCTAGACGGAAAATATGTGTAAACATGGAGATGTTTCTGGACTCTGTTGTGATGCTCATAGTTCTAGAACGTATGTCAGAATTATTCATCCACAGAATTCAGTGTTATAACGTGGTAAAAAGCGGTACACAGTTAAACCACATTAGCATTTACATGTTGGTAACGTTGTATGTAAATTTTGCGTTTAATGTTCTGAAAGCTGATTTTAATACAAAAAAATCTGAAGGTTTTAATATTCCAATGAGTTGAATGCAACAAAACCCTTTAAAGATTGAATTTTGATAACAAAATATTTGTAGTTTCACTTTAAATCATTCAGAAATTATGAAAGAATAATTTGATACCAAAATAATTAGACATGTATTTACTTAAGAAGTAAACTTAAATGTTTTACTGAGAGCTATTTCAAAAACTTGAAAGATGTGGACTGGAGGTATGAAACTTGGATTTCTTCCCAAACATCAGTATTTTCTTAATATTTTGTTGAAAAAAAAGACTTCACCACGCTGGCTGAGGGTAATCTGAGATACTTTCACTTCAAGGTTTTATAAAATTATTTGATAAATCGGTTTATTTTGTTTATGCTTTTGAAGCTCAAATACGTATGATGTATTTTTCAAATCCAGAAAGAAAATATTTTGCACAAACTTTTTGAAATATAATATGATTAATAATTTTATAAACTACTGTTGAACTGATCATGTCATACATATACACACACATACACACTATCGCAAATAATTATGGAAATAGTGACGCAACTTGGTATAACAGGCAATTTAGTACGCGATCGCCATCCCTTTTACTGTGTGAAAATGAACTGCACCAGAGTACAATCAGGCATTGATAGCTTACACTCTGACTGGCTGTCATCCAACCGATCAGAAGGTGCCACGTCAGTATAAAGCCTATGAAATTAGCGGTATCATACTATTCTCAATAATAGTAGTAATGTGAATTCAGTCCTTGCGCCCAAGACTGAAATTCCGCATGACAAACATGTTGAGATTATAGTTCCAATTGATGAAGGATACTTCATGCGAAAATTCAGTCAAGACTTTACTCTCAACAGAAAGTCAGGCTCTGAAGAAGATGCGTGAGACTAGTATTGTTAATAATAGAAATAGTTGAGGAAGAACCAAATATCTTCAAAACTGATGTTGAATATTTCTGGGTGTGTTCTTTATGGGATAGATGATGATCAAGTACAGATCTTGCAACAACCTTTCAGTAAATACAGGTGTGAACATTATTTCGAGAACAGTAAGACCAACATTCACACAATGTGGTTTCATTAGGCATGTAGCTGCTCGAAAACCGCTGCTAAGCAGAAGGGTAAAATAGGCATCAGACCCAAAACAGCAAATCTCCTCGAGTAAAATAAAAAAATAGAAAACTCTTTGCTTTTCTTTTAAAGTTTTTCGTTAAATAATCATTTTTTTTGTCTTAACCTTAGGAATAACTTATGGTGTTATTGTACAGCATAAAGTAATATCCTGAAGCAGATGCTATCAAAGCTGTTTACTTAAAGATTATTGAGAAAGAAAAGACTAAATGCAAATTCATTAATTGTTAGTTCAATTATGTCAGTTAGACAATTAAGTATACGAAGTGGAAAATGTATTGACTGTGAACAATGTATTCTGTGTGTATTTATTAATTTGATAATGTTACTGGAGTGTTTGTATCGTAAAGTACACATTAAAATGGAAAATAAAATGGTGTAAATTATATAGTTACTATGAGTGGATGTGGATAGTCGTTTTAAATAAAATTTTCCATCTATGTTAATGAGAAAATCAATTTTCAGAAAATGTACCGGACACGTCTAAGCGAAATCTACAACATCAAATATGCCAAAATCAATTAATCTTTTACTTGTTGGATCTTGACTTTGCTTTGAATAATAGTATTTTACCTACCTAGAATTCTCCTAACTGCTAGCAAAAAAAATCTTGCTTTTAAATCTAAAACATCTGTGATAGTGACAAGGAGAATTCAGGACGGTTTTCTTTATTGGAGTTTTAACGCAGTTCTGACGGAAAACTTAGTTATAGTTTCCTCTACAACATATTAAAGGTGTTTCTAAATGCATATTTTCAAAATATTCTAATGATAAATGATTTGTTTGATGTTTTGGGTATTTGAATTCAGGATAGTAACAAATACGTGGATAAGGTATATAAATGGGAAGTCAATTCCATCAAAAACTATTAAATGTTACGTTTCAGTTGAAATTCTGCATTTTTATTTCACAGTTTCTACACGTCATATTTCCTTTTCCAGATCATTCTCTCGTGAATTGTCATACTAATTTTGGAGAAGTTTTTGTGGGGTCTAGAATATTAGATGTTTAGCAACAGTTTATTGGAGGATCAAGATTATTTCAAGTTTAAGTCTTAGAAGAAATATAACGAATATATTTCGGAATGGTAAATTAAATTAAAGCGTGAAATTCAAAATCTTATTGTTTCTTACTGCTAAACTAAGATTAGAAGTCAACATAATTTTATAAAGAAATACAGAAAAGGGATATAAGAAAATAGCACATATCCCCGTGGACACACTCTGAAGTTGTATGATATGGAAGAGATATTAGACAAACTGGAATGTGTTAAAATATTTGGATGTATCATTTGAGAAAGGATTAAGTTAATCGAGGGGCGGTTAACGGTCTACTTATTTTTACCAGATCAGAGAAAGTAGAACACATCTTATGAGGTCCTCGCTTGATGCTCACACAGGAATTACAGATAAAGGAAAGCTGGAACCATTAATTAGTGATTATAGAGATTTCTATTGTTGAAATGTTAAGTGAATTACTTAATATGTTTTCATAATTAACTTAGTTTTGATGGTTTTAGTACATAATTCTACATACAGTTTTTGCCTTCTCTTATAGATGGATTAATGAGAATTATAAAAATAGAGTCTAATGAGATATTACTTCATTGTTTGAAAATGTGTCTAACATATTTAATTCCCAAAGGCGGAGATCAAAGATATGTGTGTAACTGAAGATATACCACGCTACTTAATGTAGATTATAAAATCTTATTAAGGTTTTAGATGACTGATTATCTATAGTTCTTCCTTACATTGTTTAAAATGGTCAAATGGAAAATATTTTATGAAGGAATGTACTTCAGACACATAATTCTTTTGAAATACATATTGGATTACTTACACAAGTAGGCTAAACCACGAATATTACTAAAGTTAAATCAAAGACAAGCTTTTAATATGGCAGACCATGGTTTCTTCTTTACAATGTAGAGAAGTTTAGGTTTCGGGGAAGTTCTATTCAGTTGATGTAAGTGTTTTTGAATAATATAATTATCCTCAGGTATAATAGTTTTATAAGTCACCACTTTCGTATAGTACAAGACATTTGACAAGGTACGTAATTTATCGTTATTTCTGTGGCGAATATGCTGAATTGAAGGCAGGTTATAATTATTATCAGTGATAAAGAGTGAGCAGCTATTATCAGTTGCTCCTTTTGTGTTTTCAGAAAATATTCCAAGCGTGGAAGCTTTTGGCTGAAGATCGAAAAAGTCTCGGTTACTCAGACTGATTTGGAGGTTTATAATTAACCCTTCTAACGTGAAGTGAAATGGAGGTATATTCTAATTACAATAATTTGTTGAAATTTGGTTTGTGAGTTTTCGTGATTTATTCTATGAATTAACTCCGAGTTTTTTCAGGCCTAAAGTTAGTACGGAAGAATGTAGAATCTTTAATCCTGATATTAGAGCGGTAAATTTCTCCCGCATTATAGAAATGTTTTGTAAAACTGCCCTTGAGTTTTGGATAGTTAGTAGGAGAATTCAGAGAGCACCTTTTCATTTTTTAGATATGTATTAAAATTGAAACGTTGGAGAATATCAGCACGCTGCAACTTCAAAGACTGGGTTATGATTCTGAAAGTACTGGTGTTCCAGTGACTCAATAGAGAAGCATTGTAAAAGAGGAACCTTGGGGCTTGCATGGTTAAAAATACATGATGAACGAAAACGAGTGTTTAATTACGGAAACATAAGTGACGTGATCAGAAGAACAGAAAGTGTCAAAAATATTTTTATCATTATGTATGTTTCACTATCGACGTGTTAGAAATACACAAAGAAGGAAGTTTCTTTCTTGGATTAGATAAATAACGTAATCGAAAACATGATAAATGTATAAAATTTTCTAACATTAAATATGGAGGGTCCATGTTTCGTATACCGTTAGTGCAAGGTCGTGTTTGAACATTGGGACTGTGTGTGCGTTATAATAGTGACAGTCAAACAGAACTATTCGATTAGAATAGTCGTCCAAGAGTTAGCGATGGATGTTATTGATTATTTGGCTTCCTCTTAGTCTATCGGTTCAAATATCGAAGACATCCAGAACAAATGGTCTTCTATCGTACCTCTATACATAATTATATAACTTTGTTTTCGTGGCTTCGTTTGCCTATATGATTAAGTTTAGTAAATTTTTGAGTAAACAGATTCGAGTTTTTAAACAAAAATAAACAGAGCTATTATAAACGAAGTGTCTTTCTGTTTACAAAACGTGTTCTTGCCAGTTGGCTTTTAATATTAAGAAAAAAGCATTTTATGTCGTCTTCAAATGCTAGAAACGAACTAAACATTGTTTGAGAACAGGCCGCTGCGTCATTTGTGAGATTTTTACTATGGAATAACACGTTTTATTTATAAGCTTGTATTTCCGGAGATGTCTTCACGTTGACTGGCTTATAGTAAAGAAAATTAGATTGAGCTAAGATATTTATTTTCTGTGGTATTCAGAACATGTCTTTGTCGCTCGTGCGTTCCGTACTTTGCTTTAGAGTGGTTCATCCTTTATAAAACACGAAACGTCATGTTTCGGAAGCTATTATCGTGAAAGCTACAACATTAAAAAAAAAACGTAACAGTTATGCACAGCTTTCCTCTCACTCAAGAGTGAGTGAAGCTCTATGTTTATAATTACCACCTGTAATGTCACTTATACGAAAAAAGATTTTCTTTATTTTAAATATAGAAGTTCCAGTAGCCGAACTGCTCAATGTGGTTGAATAGGATCACCACATACATATATCGCCTGTAACTTGTCAGATGATAAACGCTATGATTATTGAGTTTGGTTAGTATACATAGTTGTATGTAAGTAATACCGTTTCACAGATAATCACGTATAATCATTTTTATCATGGAT